AGAGACAGAGAGAGAGAGAGAGAGAGAGAAATGCAGAGCGTGTGCAGAGCAGGGGGACGCGAGGAACAGTATTAAGAACTGCTGCTTTAGAACACTGGTTTTTAAACTTGTGAATCAATTAGAATTGTTAGAAGACAGAATCGCGATTCATATATTGCATACATCATAGATTTGTACGTGCACCTCTAGTTTTCTCTTCCTCTTCTCTAAAGCATGGCCTCGACCCCTTCTTGCGTGTTCCCAGGGGCGGGGTTTATCTGGGTTTGTGATGTCACGAACCCGGGAAGTAACTTGTTGTAGTCCCTACCAGCCATTTTTGTAGGATTAAACTGCCAGAATTTTAAAAGACTATATCTCCGTTTGCATCGAACTTTCAGCTTCGTAACTTTGCAGATATTGTTTATGCTGAAACAGCAACATTACACACTAACTAACGTTAAAAAAGTGAAATCACAATCAACCACCCCTTTAAAACCATCAATCCCCCTCACTATAGTGGAGAGAACCACAATGAGGCGGACTCATCTCAAATAACAGGGTTACTTGTAAACCCCCAGTAGATGGGGGCAGGGGGCAAAAACACATTTTATTTATCTTGTTTTTCGGCCAGGCACAATAAAGATTTCAAAAGGAGGTTTTCACAGCAATGCCATAGAAGATTATTTTGGGTTCTCCAAAGAGCCTTTCAATTGAAAGTTCTAAATAGTACTTTTTTTTGTCTGAAGAACATACACTAAAAATAAAGGTTCTGTATTGGCATTGATGGTTGCATGAAGAACCTTTAACATTCACTGCACATAAGGACCTTTAGAGTGGAAAAAGTTTCTTTAGATTTTTTAAATGATCTTCACACACTAAGAAAAAATGGTTCTTTTAAAAATTGTTCACTAGAAGGTTCATTGGGGAGCCAAAAATGGTTCTTCTGTGGCATCGCTGTGGGACCCCACTTTTGTAAACTTTATTTTTAAAAGTATATAATATAAAGAAACTTTTTTTGTGCAATGGAAAGTTTCCATGGATGTTAAAAGTTCTTCATAGAACCATAGATGCAAATTAAAACCTTAATTTTTTAGAGTGCAGAGCTGGAGAGATCAGAAAAAAGCAGAAGGACAGATAGTGAATTCACTTCTGTTTGCACTGTCAGCTCAGTGTGAACGCAATATACCATGTCAATAGACACTACCACATCTACTAAAGGTACGTCCAGCTTAACAGCACCTAATATTTACCTCAGATTACTCACACTTTGCTGTGACGGCCCTTTTGTATGCTTAACTGTAATACCAAGAGGTGTAAAGTTAAGGCCTTGCTGTAAAGTCTCTGCTACTGAACATTCAAAGCACATTTATGGCAGGGTGTATCAAAGTAAGCAAACAGGAAAATCTCTAGAGATGCTTTTCAGATTAGCTTTTTTCCTTTTTACGCCATTACTTGATGTTTTGGCCGTAAACATAGGTATGTCTCCTCTCTCTCATCTGCACACCTGCAAAAATCAAAGTCAGCATCTGCAAGGGGTCATTAGGGAGGAGATCTTTAGGCTTCCCATCACTGGAATAAGCTGTGGCTGAATCACATAATCACTGACACCCAGCCACATTGATCCATTTAAGAGAGTGACTGTCTAATGATACAAATCATGCCATTGTATACGCACACTCCCACAGCATTCCCAAAGTCATAAACATTTAAACATATCAAGAACATTTTCAATATCAACCACTAGCTCATAATGTAACCCGAGCCTGTAATGTTTAGGAGTAAATGGAATACAAATGTGCCTTTTGACATACAACACTTGAACTCCATTTTACAAGGTGTCTGGTAACACTTATTGTTTCATCCTACCATGAATAATAGTCCTTTTTTTATTCCTCCAAAAATAGTTAAATCGAGTCCAAATGAATGAATTGAAACAGCATTGGGATCTTGCCAGGAGGGAAATGCATGTTTTTGTGATAAAAGACAGATTTGAAGAGGTCTGATGTGAGATCTGGTGTGTCCTGCAATTGATTCATGTATCACAAAGCACATTATCTGAATTCATAACTTCTCCAGCTGGTTCTCCTCCACAAGTGATTATGGTGTGTTCGTACAAGACCTGAAATGACACTAAAGCAAATATTAAACATATGGGAATATGATTTATGCAGTTACACTGCTGCTCAAAAGTTTAGGGTCAGTATAAGAGTAACTTTTTGAACGAAATAATTGCTTTTATTCAGCAAGAATTCATTAAACTGATCAAAAGTGACAGTAAATATGTTTACTTTGATACAAAATCTATTTCAAATAAATGTTGTTCTATTGAACTCTCTATTCATCAGAATCCAAATAAATAAATAAAATATCAAGGTTTACAAAAAAAAAAAAAAATTAAGCAGAACAACTGTTTTCAACACTGACATAAATGTTTCTTGAGCAGCAAATCAGCATATTAGAATAATTTCTGAAGGATCATGACACTGAAGACTGGAGTAATGGCTTCTGAAAATTAATCTTTGCCATCACAGGAATGAATTACATTTTAAAATATATTCAAATAGAAAACAGTTATTTTAAAGGGTAATAATATTTTGCAATATTACTGTTTTTACCATTTTTTTAATCAAATAATTGAAATCTTCTTCAAAATTCTTAAAAAAAATTAATAAATAAATACAGACCCCCAAACTTTTAAACGGTAGCATATGATTCAGATTTACAGTTTACATTTGGCTGAAAAAAAGCTGTAATATACTGTTTGACAGGTTCCATTGTGACAACTTACCCTATATAATGTGAAGCCCCTTAAGGCATGCTGAGATAAAGTGCATAAATTCTCTCTGCTTAGTCTATGTACATTAAATGTAGATTTCCTCGGGTGAAATCCGTAGAGAGTTTGAGCTTATTTAAGTATTTATCCCTTAGACAATGTTCAAAGCAGAAAGATAGCCTGGCTCAGTGACTCGTTGTAGTTTTGCTGCTAAATTAGTATTTTATCTCCAAAAAAGATAATATAAAGGATTTTTCACCACACCATTTTCAACTAAAAACAAAAACACTATTCATTCACATGACAAGGGTGTTTTGGGGGCCTGAAAATGCAAACGTTTGAAAACGGGTTTCAAAGTGCAAGTTTTTGAAAACAATACCATTATCTTCTCAGTGTAAACTACAAAAAACGCGAATGTGTGAAAACGGTGACGTCATGCGCATACATATTACATATTCGCATAGTGTTTCTTGATAAAGTGACATTGCCAACTACTGGCCTGGCATGCATAATACAGCGCTTTAAGTCATTTTCCCAGATCTGTGTGAATGGGGATCATTTTGACAACGTTTGTCATTTGTACGTTTTTCAGTTGCCAAGTGTCTCTTAGAAATGAGGCGTGTGTTACTGAGTGAGTTTGTTGTTTTCAGAACAACTTGAAAGTTTGATAGTGTGTGACCCTCATTCGTTTAGTGTATGATACCTCCCGTTTTTCCTCTGTTATCATCTAAAAAGTTGACAAGTGTATGATGCCAATAGTGTTTTAAATTCAGTTCAGATTTCGTTAAGCAATGTAAGTTATTTAGTGTAGTATATTTCAGCCATAAGCTTCTATTAGAATATTTCAAAGTATTTAAAGGGGTCACAGGATGCCCATTTTCCACAAGTTGATATGATTCTTTAGGGTCTTAATGAAAAGTCTGTAACATAGTTTGGTTAAAAATTTTCAATGGTAGTGTAAAAAACACTTTTTTTACCCTGTCAAAACAGCTCTTTCCAGATCAAGCCGTTTTTGTAGCATTTTCCTTTAAATATAATGAGCTCTGCTGACCCCGCCCCTCTCTTCCGAGCTGCTCTCAGAGAGACTGTTTACTTCAGCCGCATTCATCAGTGAAACTTGCTAATTAGCACGATATTAGGAAAGGCGATTGGCAAAGATTCATTACAAAACATTATACTCACTTCTTCTGTAGATGACATCACAACTTGTTTTTTTACAGAGTGTAACACTGCTGCCCACTTTTTCTGCAGCCATTGCCATTTAAAAATTGTAGTGGCCACATTTTTGTTTTTTTTTATCATAAAAAAAAAAAAAAAGGTTTTCAGGTGCAGTTTTACATAAATTACAACCCTAGCATGCATATACTGTATATATGGTGGTGATAAGATTTATTTGTATGTACTTTTTTAATATTCATGAAGAATATGGCACAGACTAATAAGTGTGACTGGTTATATCCATTCATCTTGTATTTATCTGTTTATTAACGGCTTGCAGGAGCCCTCACGACTTCCACCCTCTCAGTCTGGCCCATGTCTCTTTGAGGTGAGGCAGTTTCTGGACTGTGCAACAACTCAGGCTGATCTGAGCTTGTGCGAAGGCTTCAATGAAGCTCTTAAGCAGTGCAAACTCTCACATGGTAAGCCTCCCGTCAACACAGACATTAGACATGATCCTCATCTAGGACTGAACTAACATGCAATCGGTTATGTGAATCTCACAGACAACACAAAGAAATGACAAACTGAATAGTAATTTTGTTTCAAAGTGCTTGACATTTTAGAAAGTTTTACAAAAAATACTCAAGAATGAAGTTAGAGATACACATGCATTTATGTACTATTACTAATAAAAAACCTGTTCTTGGAATGACCTTCTGATATTTTGTCCCTTTAGGTGTAACATCTCTGGTGTGATGGAGAATGTGGAAGATCTAAACACTAAATGTAGTCAAATAAACTGTTGGTTCAGATTCTCAATATTTCCAGCAGTTAATGTGAATTACTTATGTTTATAGCTGTTAAATACACATTGGTACTTTTGAATGTCTGATCATGTAAATGAAGTTGTACAATTAAAGAGCTGCTATTTATCTTTTTTTCTTTGTTATTCATGCCATTCATGTCATAATCCTGCTCTGTTGTGTATATTTTAGGCACATTACATGTTTAATGTGCATGTGGAACAATGTGTCCATTTTGATAAAGTCTTGTTTATGATTTACAAGTATCTAACAGAGTTACAAAACAAAAGCCTGATAACTAGTTATCACACTCTTTCCAAACTACATTTGCACAGCAGGTCTTGATTGCACAATCTCACTGCGTTTGTCTGAAGACAACCAAAAATATTGGTTGTCTTCATAAGATAATCAAAAATATTGATAGCCTTTTTTTACTTTACACAAACAAGAAAGAACAGAAGATTTGATTTAATATGCAGCATAGAAACAATGTTTTCTAAAATTGCAACTATAGTAACATTAATTTTGATAAACAATTACTAACTCAACCTGTTTAAATCTCATTCATATTATTGCTGACGGCTCAAGAGGCGTGAAAGGAATTCAGCACACTGACCAATCACAGAGCTCGGTGATTAGGCGTCTCTGTCTTTCAACCAATCATAGAAAGCGGTTTATCACAAGGAAGCAGAACCCTATCGGGTCATTCTCACACTAGTCCAATAGTCAGCAGCAGTAAGTGTGAAATAATGCCGTTCATAAATGTGGAAACAAATTTACCTGCAAGCAAGTTTCCAGAAGACTTACTGAAAAGACTATGTACTACATTGGCTGCTGCTTTGGGGAAACCGGAAGACGTGAGTATTGTAGCATTAGCTATGCAATGGTTCTCTCTCCACGTTAAATGTCTTGGCCTTCTTGACCTTAGTAATCATAGATCTTAAAGCTCCGCCGTCATGTAATGCAATGGTTCATGTCTTCAGAGGATGAATCTGGTGGTGAAGACTGACCTGCCGATGATGATCGCAGGGTCTTGCTCCCCGTGTTTGATGATGTCCTTGTCTGCCATTGGAGTGACTGATACGGCGGAGAAAAATAAGGAGCACAGCGCCAAAATCTTCCAGTTTCTGAAAGGAGAGTTTGGGCTTAGCGATGACCGGTAAATTAATAAAAAAGACGGGAAAGCATAGGGTTGAAACACAATGAATAGAATGGTTACTTACTTACCTCAATATTTGGCGACTTCTTGTTATAGTAGTGCTTCAAATCTAATTATTCTAATAATTTGACTTTTAAATAAAACTTTTTACACATACACATTTAAAAGTTACAGTCATTCTCTCTGAAAGACAGACCAAAATATTGTTGATTGACATTGCATTAATGGACATGTCTATTTTTGTCCAATAAAATGCTTCCTGGAATTATAAAAGTCCCTCCTCCTTAATTATAAATCCTACCTGCCATTATAGCAAATCAGCATTCATTTTTCATATTTTGAAGATTGCTGGTAATCAAACAGTTGGTGGTTGCCATTGACTTCCATAGTAGTAAAAAAAATACTATGGAAGTCAATGGCAACCACCAACTGTTTGATTACCAGCAATCTTCAAAATATATTCTTTTGTGTTCAACATAAGAAAGCAACTCATACAGGTTTGGAACGACATGAGGGTGAGTAAATGATGACAGAATTTTCATTTTTGGGTGAACTATCCCTTTAAATGAGACCTATGATGGAGCCACGTTTTGTGTTATAAAATATAATGTCCTGATTTTCTTTCACTTCTGTGTTCTGTTGCAGTATTTTGATACTGTTCTACCCTCTGGAGCCGTGGCAGATTGGGAAAAAAGGAACAGTGATGACCTTCTTATGAGACTTCACATTCTTTTTTTTTTAAGTGAATTCTTCTTATGTGATTCCTGATTGGGATTCAGCTAGCTGGACATGCATTGCTCCTGGGTGATAGGACCGTTTTGCTCTTATAGGATTAAAAATATTTCCTAATTTTCTTGAATAGTAGCCTGTGATTTGAAAATAATCACTTTACTAAAATAAATATAAAATGCATTTAGCATTTTGATAGCAAACCATATAGTTGGTTGGATGTGTCTTTTTTTAGACAATAAGGTAAATAATAAGTTGATAAACTTGTTAGGGAGTTAATTGTATGAATTGAATTATGTATTACATTAGCTCAGTGTTTGTCACTTTTCCTGAGAAAGTGCCATCTTCAATCAATCAGTTTATCTGTCAACCACATCTACGGGTCAAATCAGACCATAATCACCAGCTTACAAAAGCCATAGAAAATATCCATAACCATGTAGTCAGAGTGAGTTTTGATTTGTACGGATGTCAGTTGCATAGTACAGAGCATAAGTGCACACAAACAAAATGTCTTTTCTCACTAATGTCTTTATCATCAACTGTGTTTGCCAAGTACATTGATTCAGAAAATTGCTCAAATTAAAATGGATAAACAATAAAAAAAAAATGCTCTTGAATAAAACAGCTGTGTAATTCATTCAGGGGTTTTGGGATGATGTGGGTGGGTAGTATTTGCTTCCGGGGGCAGTAGTCAAACAGTTTGGATCTATGTTTCATGGTTCAAGAAGAAAAGAAGAACACTCAGGTTTTTTTTCTTTTTTTTTTTTTGCACATAAACATGTAATACATTGTAATTGTGTATACAATTCCTTAGTGTATACTGTAAAAACTGATTCTTCAAATATTACTGGATTATGTTTTACAAGAAAATACAGTTTCAGTCTTTTTACTTCAGTTAATTCAGTGTTACATGATGGTTCTTTGTAATTATTTGTGAAATTTACTATCAATTTCTGAAAATCCTACTCAATTTTTGTTCAGTGTGTATAGACAATTTTACTGCCAAGCAAGTTTTTAGTCATAAAAGTAGTTTATTAGTATACTATTTAAGCGTATGTAGGGGTATCTTCAATATCTTAGTTTTAGAGAAAAAATAATGCTTTGACAGCAATTCTTCAAATTAAAATATAATCTTGTCACGATTAAAATACCCTCGAGTTCCGACAGATGGCGCTCATTGCAAGAGAAGAATGAAGAAAATAAAATGATTCAAAAGTTTATTAGCTAAACGCAGTTCTCGTTTTATTGTCGAACTATAGTGCTTACAAAGCTTGAGGTCATGTGTCCTTTATGGGGGTTTTAGGAACAGATTTAGGAACACAGGGTTTTAGGAGCAGAGTTCAGCGGGGTGTGGTGTAAATTAGTAGTTAGTAGGCGATACTTGTGCAGCAGTGCAGTCATTTCATTGCAGTTTTCACTGGGTTGTGTTTTAGTATAGAAGTCAGATACTTGTCAAAAAATGTCTTTGGAAATATACTTGGATTTGTTTTCGCAGCCATGTCGCTCTGTTTACATCTTTGCCAAGAAAAACAACATCCAGTTCGATTACAAGAAGATTTCGCTTTTTGAAGGTACAGTATCGTCTTATCTAAAACTGTTGTTTTTTTAAGTGCAATTACATGGAATTTGCAGCATTCATCACAACTTCTTCATAGGAAGGAAAAGCTTACAGACTTATATTAGAAGTTCTTCGTTTTATAATGAAATGCAACGGTCTTTTTTATATAGGCTATATTTCTGTTACGTGTGAGGAAGTTGTGGTTAGACTACAGCATGCAATCTTTTATTGATATAGGCAGGTGTGGCTGAATTCAGGTATTACAGAATTTAATGCTGTGTCACGCTAATCTGGCACAGTTATTACTGCGTCTTTTGAGTTTTTACATTGTGCCATTTGTGTGCATAAAGGATCACTCTAATATTATAACATTAGTATTTTTCCAAAACGTAAATATGAGATCTGTCCATCAGGTTATCAATATAGTGAAGAGTATGGGAAAATCAACCTGCTAAGAAAAGCACCAGCAATCAAAGATGGAGACTTTTTCTTGGCTGAAAGGTATGTCTATGGATAGCAAGTTGTTCCTTGTTTTCGACTGAATTCAAAGTAGTTTTAAAGGGGTCATATGATGCGATTTCAATTTTTCCTTTCTCTTTGGAGTGTTACAAGCTCTTGGTGCATAAAGAAGATCTGTAAAGTTGCAAAGACTAAAGTCTCAAATCCAAAGAGATATTCTTTATAAAAGTTAAGAGTCAGCCACGTCTACCTAAAACGGCTCGTTCTAACACACCCCACATGTCTACGTCACGATGTGAGAAGATTTGCATAACGCCGCCCAAACGTTCACGCAAAGAAAGAAGGCGTAACCTTTATTCTTTTGGCTGCACAACTGTTGATAATTCTAATAATAAATCAGCATATTAGAATGATTT